TTAAGTGTTAAAGAGCAAAGATGTCAGCTTGAAGACTAAGGTGCCCCTGACCCAAGCCATGGTATTTTCAATAACCTCATATGCATGCGAAAGCTTTGCAGTAAGTAAGGAAGACTGTAGAAAAATTGATGCTTTTGAGTTATGGTGTTGGAAGAGAATATTGAAAGTGCCATGGGCTGCCAAAAGAACCAATAGATCCATTTTGGAAGAAATGCACCCAGAGTGCTCCTTGGAGGCTAGGATGGCCAAACTTCGTCCCTCATACTTCGGACATATTGTCAAGAGGGACCAGTCGCTGGAGAAGGATATCATGTTTGGTAAGGTGGAGGGTCAGAGAATAAGAGTATGACCCCCAGTGAGATGGATTGGCCAAGTGGCAGCATCAGTGGCTCAAGCGTGGTGACAATAGTGAGATTGGCCCAGAATTTGGCATTGTTTCATTCTCCTGTGCAGAAGGTCACTATGAGTTGTTGCCAACTCAATGGCACCTAACAACAACATTTATCTACTGTGACATATCAGCCATTGAAAAACCTGTGGAGCACAGTTGTACTCTAATACATGTGGGGGCACCATGAGTTCGAGTGAACTCAACGTCAGCTGGTTTTAATCTAGTAGCATAGCCAGCTTCCCTCGGCCACAATTCAGTGTAAATCTGTAAGTGTTTATAGAGACCCCCACTTCTGACAAAATAAGCCTGAATACTTGCCTTTGCACGTCCGTACTACCACCATCCACCTCAGTGTTCATCACCAAAGACTTCCAGATGCAACTCTTAACAAAACTGTACATTTTGGGAGTAAAATAGTCAGAGCCACAGAGAAGGTAATTGGATCTTTTAGAAACCCTTTCCACAGTACCTACCATGTTTAGGAACCATTGCACTGAAAATACTGCTTCCTGGGGAAATGCTCTTAACTGGGAACCATGAAGGGAGTGAGATTGTTGCTTCTGAAGGGCGAACTCCGTTTCATATACTAGGTTTTGTTTTTCCCCCTTTTATTTCTTAAAAGCACACAAACTCATGCCTTTAAGTCCCTCATGAGGGACAGAAATATATACAAAACTGTGAACAACATATATCAAAGGATCTGTAGGTTGTTTGCTTGATCTCTCTTGTCTGAATTTTATATGAAGTTTTCTTTTTTGATGTTAACAGTGTTGACAAAAATCAAAACAAAAAACACCATGAGGATGTGTCAGAGAAAATGTGACTACAAATTGCCTTCTTGCTACCTCTGCTCTACTCTGGGGGTGTCCCCTCCCTGTTGTACTGGAGATTCTTGGGTAAAAGTAGGAACCATCAGCACAAGCTGCAGTTCTACACCTATAATGTGGAACAGCTGGACTCCAGGGTGCTCCACGACCAACAGCTGAACCTCTTGAGCTCTGACCATGTTGATCTAGTAGAGGGCTCCCCTGTGTTTGAAGTCTTAGGTATTAGGGGACTAGTCCCTTTTCTTCTTCAGCAAAAGCTGCAAGGATTCTGCCTCCTGTGTGGTCTCCTGTCTATTGGTCCAGGTTGCCCAGAGCTGGAGACTGAACCAAGACCAAGTCGATGGGTGACACGAGAGCATGTGCCATGTGTTCTGGAAGATCGTGTTACCGATGTCATGTGCTGGACGCCTTTATTGTATTGTGTGGGGTCCCTAGTTGAGATTTTGAGGTCATGATTTAAAGAAAAGAGTTCTTCCGAGATGACCTCGCCAGGATGAGGTCACATCACGAGCTCATCAGGAGCTCCCAGGGACATTTTTGATTGAATTGGTGTGCTTTATACCCATCCTACAAATTCCAAACTTCATCTCTCATACTTTGGACATATTGTCAGGAGAAAACAGTTGCTAGAGAAGGATATCATACTTGGTAAGGTGGAGGGTCAGAGAAAAAGAGGAAGACCTCCAACAAGATGGATTGGCCAGGTGGTAGCATCGATGGACTCAAGTCTGGCAACAGTAGTGAGGTTGGCCCAGGATTGGACATTGTTTCGTTCTGCTGTTTATCGGGTTGCTATGAGTCGGTGCTGACTCAATGGTACCTAACAACAACAATACCTATCCTGGTTCTGAGGTCCTCAGAGCAACCTCTTTTCTAGGACATGACAGTGCTTACTGCCAGGTGGTTGCACAGGAAAGACACAGTTGGGTGTGGGGAGAGGAAACAGTGACCCAGCTAGGGTCCCTGGTGTCCAGGTACACTGCATCTTCATGAGAAGGTGTATACCAATGTGAATCCCAACCCACTGGGCCCCTTTACTCTGTAGAAATGATTGCTAGAGTTTGCAACCAAAAGTCAGTTCCAACTCATGGCAAACCCGTGTGTCAGAGTAGAACTGTGCTCCAGAGGGTTTGCCAGGGTGGGCTTTTCAGAAATAGATCTCCAGGTCTTCTTCCAAGATGCTTGTGGGTGGACTCGAACTTCCAACCTTTGGGTTAGTGACTGAGTTAGCCATTTGCCCCACACACAGATGTCAACAAAGATTCAGTCCTTCATAACATTGAGTCCTAGAGTAGAGAGCTATGGGTACTCAAGGGGCAGTGAGCTAGCCCAACTTGGCACTGAATTTGGAGCCCCTTCAGTGGAGAGCTTGCTGCATTCCAGAGAGTATCAATAAGCAAGCACAGGCCAAGCATGCTCAGTTTCCAGGTGTCAGATTACCCAATAAGCAAGGTCATTAGCATCTTTTTATTTGTTCTGTGGTGAACTAGTCACATTTCTTCATTCCTTCAAAAATCTACTTTTAGGTATGACTGACATCTTTCTCACTCCCAACCCCACAGTACCTTCCTTTCCCACAGAATTAAAGCCTCTTTTCAAATTTACAATCCCTGACAGGATTGGAGTACTCAATAAGTACGATAAGCATGGGCTTACTTTAATGTGTGGTGAATCGTTTCACATATTTTAACCACATCAGAGATGTGAAACTGTTCACTGCAGATAAGTAAATAAGGACAAGCAAGCCTTGCTCACTAGGTACTCTACCCTTGGTTTCCAGGGAGAAACGCCGTGTTTTGTAGGTGCTCTGATGTTCTTGGTGCACTCTCTCCTCCCGAACCTCCTGTGCCCCTGAGGAGTACCGCACCTATGTGGAGGAAGGACCTGGGTCACCTTGAAGCGTAGAGACTTTGCCCAAAATTACATTGGAGGAAAAGGAACCAGAGTCAAAGTTCGTGGAGGCAGAACTTCTGGGCAGAAATCACGAGTCCTGTCCTTGCATAGAGCTTCCTGGTTGTCAGGGCTCTGATCGGGGAATACACCTATTCCTCACTTAATGACTATTTTGTTATCTGACATTCTGCATTTATGACCATAGTGAAAAACCTGCTATTCAACTACTTTGCACAAAACAACATATATCTGGCAATAATGAATGCTGAGTTTCGGGGGAAGAGTATTTCTGGCTGCTATGGTCAGCTTGGCTGGGCCATGATTCTCAGTGCTTGGCAACTGTATAATGATGTCATTGGCAGCTATGTAATGATGTCATTTAGCAGCCATCTAATGATATAGTTGGTCCTCAATTTTACAATCTGATCATACTCCATTTTCAAATAATGGTGGTTTTCACATAGTGATCTGGTCCATGGAACGTAATCATGTTGCTAAGTGAGGAATGGTGTAATTTTAGACAACAGGGAGCTACTTAGAGGAAACACACATCCTTTGACTTCACACCCGTGGTTGGAGTTCAAACCAGGGTTCTGCAGAGCCTCCATTCTGTCTGACTTTCTATCCCAGGACAACTTCCAAATGCTGCATGCGGTAGATTAGTGACGCATTACATGTTCATATACAGCGTGCTAGTGGGATGTTCTCTACACAAATTCTTAGTGACCTCCCCTCCATGAGCCTTAGATTGTGAATATTCAAATTCTACTTTTTACCATTAGTGTCTCTAAAAAAAGGAAAGGAAATGAAAGCTAGGCAAACGCAACCTCTTATTCCTTGCCAGTATTCCTCCTGGTAGGTTTCCCAGGGTGTGGTCTGTATTCATTACATGCTGCATGTCCGCATGGAAGTTGCCAAAATCACTTTGCAGCTTTACTGTGGTGATGGTGGTGGTGGTGGTGGTGGTTATGTACTGTGGATACGGTTTCAACTCATACCGACCCTGTGTAGGGTTTCCGAGGCTGTAAAACAGAAAGTTTTCTTTTTCTCCTGCAGAACTGCTGATAATTTCGAACTGCTGACCTTGCAATGAGCAGTCCAACTCTTAACCACTATGCTACCAGAGTGGAGGGTTTTACTTACCTTGTTTTCTTTGTTTTCAGTGCTCTGGAACGTTGAATGCTGAGGTTGAAATTGCTGAAGGTAAGGTGGATGCTTTTATGTAAGTCAATTTATAGGATCAACAAAATAAACTAACTAACGAACACTATAAAAATACAACTTACATAGCTAAGTCATATGCAAAGTAGATAGTTTAGGTCATTGTATTATATATATAAATATGATTGTTGTTGTTAAGTGCCGTCAAGTCGGTTCTAACTCATAGCAACTCGAAGGGTATCAAAATCGTACAATGCCACACAACCAGG